CTCGAACCCGCGGGCCCAGGCAATCCACTCACCTCAGCCTCCCAAAGGCGCGGGATTACAGGCTGAGCCACCGAGCCCAGTGAAAATATGTTTATTAAAGAAACAGATCCACAGGCAGGGCAGTCCACAGGCGTTGCTGGGGATTCAGAGGCAAAATAAAAGTAAGTTTGTTGAAGTGGCAGCGAGCAGGCTGCTCCATGGGCAGAGCGGCCTGGGCTGGTCTATAGGCAGAACAACAGCTGTACAGCACTCAGGCTTTATTTTTATAGTTACTTCTTGATTATATGCTGGGCAAGGGGTAGATTATTCATGGATTTTCTGGGAAAGAGACAGGGAGGTCCTAGAATCAGGGTTCCTTCCCGTTTTTAAACCATCTAGGGTGACTTCTGGGAATTGCCATTGCAATTGTAAACTGTCATGCTGCTAGTAGGAGTGTGTTCTAGCATGCAAATGTATTATAATTAGTGTATAATGAGCAAAAAGAGCAAACAAGGGTGGCTTTCCATGCTGTTTTGGCCTCTGGGTTCAGTCACCTGCAGAACGTTCATGTACCAGTTTCTTAATCTCTGTCTGTAAAATGGAAATGGTGATATTTACTTCAGAAGAGTGTTGTGACATGCAAGGGAGACAGCGTATCAGAAGGAATACCAAACACATTTCTTTTTAATTTTTATTTTATTTTTTGAGTTGGAGTCTCACTCTGTCGCCCAGTTTCTTATTTCTCTGCCTTTATCTAAGTTTCTGTACCTTGGAACAATCTCAGGGATAATTGGGCGGGAAGGGGAATCTCTGTTTTGTTAAATTGCCTTTTGTGTGTTTATTCCAGTTTTGCATAGTAACTATGTGAGGTAAACATTATTTTTATTTTCAAGAGAAGAGAACTGAGGTTCAGAGTTTTAAAACAAAATAGCTTCACCATCTGCTAGATATGTGACTGTTACTTAGTATCTTGAAGCCTGTTACCTCATCTGTAAAATGGTGATAATAATTCCCTCTTCACAGGGGTTATGAGGGTTAAAATGGTTAATATATAGGAAGTCTTAACACAATGCATGCTGGATGTGGTGGCTCACCTCTGTCATTCAAGCACTTTGGGAAGCTGAGGTGATAGGATTACTTGAACCCAGGGGTTTAAGACCAGCCTGGGCAACTTGGCAAGACCTTGTGTTTACAAAAAATAAAAAAATTAGCCAGGCATGCTGTCGTGTGCCTGTAATACCAGTTACTTGGAAGTCTGAGGTGGAAGGATCGCCTGAACCCAGCAGATCGAGGCTGAACTATAGCCTGGGTGATAGAGTCAGAGTTTGATTCAAACAAACAAGCAAATACACACACACACACACACACACACACACACATACACACAGCCTGAAAAGTAGTATGACATACGTATTAGAAATTATAGATTGGCCGGGCTCGGTGGCTCAGTCTGTAATCCCGCGCTTTGGGAGGCCAAGGTGAGTGAATTGCCTGAGCCCACGGGTTTGAGACCCGCCTGGGCAACTTGGCTAGACCTCATCTCTACAATAAATCAAAAATCAGCCGGGCATGGTAGCGTGTGCCTGTAGTTCCAGCTACTTGGAAGGCTGAGGCGGAAGGATCGCCGGAATCCAGCAGGTCGAGGCTGCGGTAGCTGGGGGCGGCCACTGCACTCCAGTCTGGGTGACAGAGTGAGACTCCAACTCAAAAAAAAAAAAAAGAAATTACAGATTGAATGTCCCTTATCTGAAACACCTGGGACTGGAAGTGCTAGGGACTTCGGATTCTTTTGGATTTTGGAATGTTTGCATTATACTTACTAGTTGATCATTCCAAGTCCAAAAATCCAAAATTCAAAACTTTTTGAGCCCTGCTGACATGATGCTTAGAAGAAATGTGCATGGGAGCATTTTGGGTTTTGGACTTGGGATACTCGTCTGGTGTCATCGTTAGGAAAGCTGCCAAATGGCCTCAAAGCCACTGGAGGGCGAGATCAGGATCAACTGTTATGCATGATGTGTTGACATGAGATTTCATTGCAATTTTAACAAATTACAGTGGATTTGGTTTTCATGCAGGAGGATTAGGGAAGTGATGTTGGAAGCACCAGGAAAAGTCCAAAGGACTTTGAGAATGTGGGGACAGCAGGAGAGAGCCAGAGAGAATCAGAAGGCAGGTCAGAGGGAAAGCTCGGTGTTGCTGTCGAGATGTACTGAGGGGAAGCGTGTCCTAATTCCTGGCTTATGTTACTTACCTCCTCCTGGATCCAGCAAGTGAGATAGAGGCACTCTGCTGATGGGGGCTGGGGAGTCTCCAGTTCTCCAACTCTTTCCCACTTTCTGCTTCTCTTCTGCAGGATGTTCAAATTAAGGACACCGGACAGGCACAGTGCCTCACGCCTGTAATCCCAGCACCTTGGGAGGTTGAGGCAGTAGGATCACTTGAGCCCAGGAATTCGAGACTGCCCTGGGCAACATAGTGAGACCTCGTCTCTATAGAAAATAAAAAAATTAGCCAGGTGTGATAGCACGTGCCTATAGTCCCAACTACTTGGGAGGCTGAGGTGGAAGGATCACCTGACGCCAGGAGGTCGAGGCTGCAGTGAGCTGTGATCATGCCACTGCACTCTAGCCTGAGCGACAGAGTGAGACCCCAATTCAAAACAATATCCACAAAAAAATCAACAAACATAAATTCAGGATTCTAGAGTAATTAGACCAGGATTGAAGGCTGAGTTCTGTTGCTTTTTAACTGCTGGATGTTATGCACATTTCTTAACCTGGCTATAGTTTGGTGTCCTTCTGTGCCCAACAAGGAGAATGGTGGTGCCTACCTTCTAGGATTTGTGTGAGAACTGAAAGACAACATGGGCACTGTGCTTTGCCCAGAGGAATCCCTCAACAAGTTAGTTAGTTACTAACTAAAAGTCCCATCCGCCTGAGCTTTGGTCAGAAACCCAAGTTCCGAGGCAAGTCAGAAGTGGCTTCATTTTGGGACGGTGCCCTTTCTGAATGAATCCTGACCAGGACCACTAAAGACTCGTGGCTTCTGTCACTGTCTCAGTCAAGAATCTGGCATGGAATCTGTGAGTTTCCTTTGAGGTTTTCTATTATCAGCCTCTCCTCTCCCTCAAAAAGTATCTTAGAGTTTGGAGAACAGACGTGGGCATCTTTTTGTCGTCTTTATTGGAGTTCTAAAAATAAAAACACCCCATTTCCCTTCTCCCAGTTTTTCACAACAATACAGGGGGACTTTTATATCTGGCAATGGGGCTATTTAAATAAAACCACATTATAAACCAGCAATTTTACACTTTTGGTCTGTGATGTATAGAGATTTTCTTCATGATATCATTCGTTCTCAATGCAAAGGCAGATGAGATGAATGAATGATGGGGTTCTCTAAGAAGAATCGCCAGATGACAAATGCAACCAGGGTTCCTCAGAATCACAAATCACGAAGTCAAATCACATGTGTCCTGACTCCCCCCTCCAGTGCTCAGTTCATCTTGGCCATGTCTCCACCTGCCTTCCTCTGTTAATTTAGCCTGCCAGAGCGTTCCAGGCTGTCTGGGAGGCCATGGCCCCTGGAACGGCTTCCCTTTTGAGAAGAGGCCTGACGCATGACCTGTGTCAGCCTCAGGAAGGATTTGAAATCCTTTATTCAAAAACTCACGCTCTCTCCTTCAGAGGAATTCATTTTCCTTGGCCAATTTAGCAAGATCCCTGCTCTTTCATTTCCTTTAATTATCTTGTTTAAAAAGAAAGAAAGAAAAGAACTGGAGAAGACCATCTGCTTTCTGAGGCGGTCGTCTCTTGTGTTTTCTCTAATGGATGTATAAAGGCCCCATAAAGCCAACCAAGGCTTCGTCACATTCTTGTCTGGGTTCGTTCAGTGTGGTGCTTCCAAGTCCCTGCCACAGGCGTTTCTCGGTGTGTATGTGGCATATCTAGAATGCAGATTTTAGGAAGAGATGTGATCTTTTGTTTCATGATGCACAGGCACCGTAAGCCATTTTCCACAGGGTGCCAAACGATCACAACTGAATTCTTTGCTTTTTAAATTCCTTCCTCTCACTGTGAGAAGTCCTATTAACATGTTTTCTGAGTTTGGAGTAAAATCTGTCAAATATAGCCCAGGAAGCAGATGGGTGGTTGCTGTCTTACTTTTCACAAACTCCAAGCCTAGTCCTCCTCAGTAAGACTCAGCTCTGTCACCTTCTTTCACCCCAGAGCTTTCGTGTGCCATATGTGAGGGAGGGGTATTTCTTTATTTTCTAAAAAGATACATGATATATGGAATATCTCTATCTAGCTTTTACGTGCAAACTTTTTTTTTCTAATTGAAAATAACTGTTTTACTCTGAGTATAAAAATGTTTCATGCTCATTATTAAGGCATTTATAAAAAATCAGCAATGTATAAAGTATTAAAAGACATTTGTTTAAATCTTGCCACTCAGAGATGACCACTGTTAACATTCTGATGAATTTTTCTATTTATCCTTTTATCTACTACTTATTGAACATCTGCTAGGTGTCAGACACTAGGAATATATTGACAAATGAAATAGACATAGACTCTGCCCTCCTAGATTGGGATAGATAAATGTTAAATAGTTTGCATACATTAAATATATATATATATGTGAAATTTTATAAAAGTACAGAACACTAACAAAGTTACATTTCCTATAAGCTTACTATTGAAAAGAAGAAGAAATAGAGCACTATCCCTACTGATAATAAAAACATGCCAAAAGCCGTGCTCCACAAAAAGGTTAAAAATATAATATACTATTTCAAAAGAGGGTAAAAAAGATCATTATAAAATTAGACAAGAGATGAAAGAACAGCATAAATCCAGATTAGAAGAACTCAGCGATCAAGTGACAGAACTCAAGAAAGACTTAGAAAAATTTTAAAACCATTTAGAAATAAATTGTAAGTTAGAAGGAACACAAATCAGCCAAATACCACAAATGTTGCCCTCATAGAATTAGAGGGTGAAAAGAAGGAAGATAAAAAGCAAAAGAAAACGAAGAAAGAAAGAATGTTTGGGAAAAGTTGGCAGATGTTGAAGACGGGCAAAGCAGATCAGACATGCAGGGGTAGAGAAGGAAGCCAAGGCAAAGGAGTGGCACAAATACTGTCTTTCTTTCTTTCTTTTTTTGAGTTGGAGTCTCACTCTGTCGCCCAGACTGGAGTGGAGTGCAGTGGCCACTCCTGGCCACCGCAACCTCAACTTGCTGGGCTCCGGCGATCCTTCCGCCTCAGCCTTCATGTAGCTGGAACTACAGGCGTGTGCTACCACGCCCGGCTAAACAAATACTGTATTTCAAAAAACATTCCTGAGACTACATTTAAGAAGAATAATCATGTATTTTAGAATGTCACCCAAGAGCCAGGCACGGTGGCTCATGCCTGTCATCCCAGAACTTTGGGAGGCAGAGGCGAGAGGATTGCCTGAACCCAAGGGTTCTAGACCAGCCTGGGCAACTTGGTGAGACCTTGTCTCTACAATATATCAAAAAATTAGCCAGGCATGGTAGCTCTTACAAATTCTTGGAAGGCTGAAGCAGAAGCATCACCTGAGCCCAGTAGGTCAAGGCTACAGTGGCCATGAGCATGCCACTGCACTCTAGCCTGGCAACAGAGTGAGACTATGACTAAAAAAAAAAAAAGAATATCATCTTAGAACAACTCATGCCATGATATTCTCATAAAAATTTTGGATTATAGAAGAAGTCTTTTGGTTATCTAGACAAAAAAAGAAGAGCAGCAACAGAGAATTAGATTGTTTTTAGACTTTTTGACAGAAACTCTGATGCCAGAAGAGAATGGAACAAGTTATTTAAGGTTTTCAAAGGAAGAAAAACGTGAGCCAAGATTTTTTATATCTAGCAACATTGACCTTCAGGCATAAAGAACACAAACTTTCGAACATGCAAGAAGTCCATGGAGGAAGGATTGTCCCTGTGAGTTTTTCCTAAGGAATTTCCTAGAGCAAAAATAACTAGGAAGATGGAAGATGAGCCTGGAACATTTCAAGATCATATTGATAGCAAGGTATCTATGAGAGATTATAGGGCATCTCAAAAAGACTCAGAAGTCAACTGGAAGTGGCTCCTCCTGGCCTAAAAATAAGAATTGCAAATATGTTTAAATTCACAAGGTCATGATACTTGAATAAATTATTGGTTACCCTCTGGGGTTAATTCAACACCCAGTCCTTAGCTTTAAAGTGGTTAGGAAAGAATCAAATATTTACTCTGCCTTTCTTGTATGAACTGGACCACTTGATAACCAAATAGTGGAGGAAGAGATGCATCTCCCAAATTTATCCACCCAATACATGAAAATGAGAGATTTAGCATAGCACCATTTTCTAACCCCCATGGATTGAATGGTTCTAACCACTGAGTGACAATGACTGCTAACACTAGCAGTGAGTGGAAACCAGCTCTCACACTCTTCCTGATGAGAGATCGCACCACCCAATGGACTGAATCTCTGTTCGTTCAGGCCTCTGAATCCAGCTGCCAATTTGCAGGAAAATCAGAGGTTGGAGGAGTGAGTTAAACATGCACCAGCAAAATCCATATGTGGAATCCCTGTAGCTCAGACAGCCAGGATTCTTAACAAATGCATGCAAGGAAAAGAAAATGGTGAAGGGGCACTATTGAAAAATAGACAATGGCTGATTATGCTGGCTAGATTTGTACACTTGGGTAATAACATCATAAATGCCAATAAGTGATTGCTGCACATTCAAGAGTTTGTTGACTTTTGGAGGAAGGGAAGAGGTGTGTGAATGGCCTTCTGGGGCAGAAGGTCATGCCTATTTGTTTTGTGTGGTTTTTTTTTTTTTAAATCTGGGTGGTAGTTACAAGAATGTTTTCTAGACCAGGTGTGGTGGTGCACATCTGTAATCCCAGCACTTTGGGAGGCTAAGGCAGGAGAATTGTTGAGCCCAGGAGTATACAACCAACCTGAGCAACATAGCAAGACCTTGTCTCTACAAAAAATTAGCCAGGCATGGTGGTGTGTACCTATAGTCTCAGCTACTTAGGAGGCTGAGGCTGTGGTGAGCCGTGATCATGCCACTACATTTCAA